GGGGGCCACGCCCCCATATATGGGGTGTACCTCCCCTCCCCCAGCTTCGGGGTCCCTGGCCCCGCCCCCTTTTTGGGGGCCCCCCCTCCCACAAATGGGGTCCCCGCCTCCATATATGGGATCTCCACTCCCAGTTTCGGGGTCCATATAGGGGGTTCCCACTCCTCTTCCATATGGGGGGGATCCCTGGCCCCACCCCTCCCCATATATGGGGTGTCCCTCCCACCCCTGTCCCATATATGGGTGGCCCTGCCCCGCCCCCATAGATGGGGGTCCGGGCCAAGCCCCCAGTTTTGGGTTCCCTCATATAGGGGATATTCTCCCTGCTCCCTCCCTATGTATGGGGTGCCCTCAGTTCTGGGGGGCCCCTTCCCCATATATGGGGATTCCTGTTCTCCCCCATGTATGGAAGGGGCTCCACCCCATAGATAGGACCTCCGCCCATATATGGGGATTCCCCCCGCTTCGCCCCCAGCTTTGGTGTCCGAAGTTGTCAGCCCTACCCATATATGGCGTCCCCGCTCCTTTTTGGGCCCCGCCCCCTCCCCATAATTGGGTCCCTGCACCCCTTTCCTTCCATATATGACAGTTCCCACCAGCTCCGGGGAGGGCGTTCCCACTCCTCCCCCGTAGATGGGGATCCCCGTTCCCGACCCCCTCCCATATCTGGGGGTTCACACTCCCTCTATGAGGACCCTGCCTCCCCTTCCCATAAAAGTGGGTCAGCGCCCCCTCCTCTCTTTTGGGTCCCTGCCCCTTTTTTTGGGGTGCTCAGCTCCGTCTTCCATATATGGGTTATCTGCCCCGTCCCCATCTTGGAGGTCCCAGATTAGCGGGGGTCCCCTCCCATCAATGGGGAACCCCCGCCCCTTTTGAGGACCCTTGAACTTCCCCCATCATTGGGGGCCCTGGCCGTCTGCCACAGCTGGGAGGATGTCCTTTGGGGTCCCCCTCCTCTGCTCAAGGGCTGGGGAAACTGAGGCACGGGGCTGGTTCCGCCCTCACCCCTCTGATGTGTG